CACAGCCCGTAAGTGAGACCTGGATGAAGCTGGACAAGAACACGGGCCGAGGTGTTTCCTTTCGAACCTGTTTCCTTTGGGACCAGGGTCACTGGACTTATAGTTGTAGCCCAAGGCTGCCCGGCGGTGGTTCTCAACCTTCCTAATGCTGCGGCCCTTTCATACAGTTCCTCATGTTGTGGTGACCCCCAACCATAAAATTATTTTCGTTGCTACTTCATAACTGTCATTTTGCTACTGTTATGAATCGTAATGTAAATATCTGATATGCAGGATGTATTTTCATTGTTACAAATTGAACATAATTAAAGTATAGTGATTACTCACAAAAACAATATGTAATTATAGATGTGTTTTCCGATGGTCTTAGGCGAGCCCTGTGAAAGGGTCGTTCGACCCCAAAAGGGGTCACGACCCACAGGTTGAGAACCGCTGCTGCCCGGAGACATGGCCCCAGGCTGGCTATGTCCTCACTTACCAGAGCCTCTTCTCATCTTTTTTTTTTAACCCTCATCCCAGGGGATAATTTTCCATTGATTTTTTTTTTTTTAGAGAGAGTGGAAGGACAGAAAGAGAGACATCAATTGATTGCCTCCTGCACGCACCCCACCAGGGCCTGCAACCAAGGTAGGTGCCCTTGACTGGAATTAAACCAACCCTTCAGTCCGTGGGCTGACACTCTATCCACTGAGTCAAACCGGTCACGGCTCAACTCGTCTTTAAAATGAGGCTCGAATCATGAGCTTCACCTCACAGGACGGCTGTACTGGTCAAGAGGGGTATTTGGTGAATGAGAGCAATTTTTCAACTGTAAAATAACACACATGGAAGGGAGTGCTGTGGGCAGCCGGCCTTGGGTAGATGAGAGACTTCCTTGCCCTGCCCACCTGTAAGATCGCCTTGGCGCCTGTGGGCCAGGGTTTGTCTTCTCTTTCTACCCAGCACACCTGGGAAAGCAGCTCTAGCCCCATCCAGAATCCGCCACAATTCAGAAAGGCGGAGTTGACCAAGAATTCTCAGGGAATCCAGCCAATGTCAATTACCAGGTACGCTGGAGAGGCCACAGGCACTGGATATTTTCATTCATGGGCTCTCCAAGCTCCGCTCAACTGTGCGGCCAGCTTTGAGCTCCTCTTTCTTTGGGCAGGGGGTGTAGCTAAGGCAGCTTCCCGTCCCGGGTAAAGCCGCAGGCACTTCTTCCAGCTCGCTCCTGCCGCTGTCTTACTCGGGCACTGGGCGGCGTCCAAATATTCTCAGCAGGAGAAACAGCACCTGGGACCCCTTGCTGAGGATCTCAACCACCTCACACCCAATCCAACAGAATCATATCAGATCGTCCTTCTTGTGTCCAGATGATACTTTTAACTTCTCCAAGTCCTCTCCTGCCCTGATACCACTTTGTCTTTACAAAGCCTTGTGATTACACAGACAGGCACTGCGATGCCTGTTCAGGATCTTAATAAAAAGGTGTTAAACAGAAGACCTAAAAGCACCCAGTAGTCAGTCAGTCAGAAGCTGAAACTGGAAGGTCATCTGACCCCGGTCACAAGATCCTTTTACAAGATTATCTCTCTCAATCATTAGGAAACATGCTAAAGTCTTTGGCCACAGGCAGCCTCAAACCCCAACCAAGAAAAAAAGAAGGGCAGAGTTGTATCAGCCAGGACTCCTCAAATGCATTGTTCAGATGGCCTCACACTACAGAAGAGATAAGATAAGAAATAAGAGATGCTCTCCAGACACTGAGAGGTGAGCGGGGAGAGGACCCATGAGTAGGCCTATGCCCGCAACTCTCCCAGAGTTCCTGTGCGGCCATCCTCTTCCTCAGGACTTTGCTCAGTACACACACTCTCTTCCCTTTCCTTCCCACCAACCTCGACCCACTCTTGACAAAGCTGGACCTTTATTTTTAGAACTTTTGGAACAGAACAGAACTATTGGACATAGATAAAAAAGAAAGGAAAGGAAAGGGATGAGCTATTTTGATTCCTTGGAAGTTTTCTTCCTGAGACCTCCCTAGCACGTCCTTGCGTTCCACTTGCTTCCACACACACAGACACCACTCCTCGCCCTTCTCCACATGCGGGAGTTTCCCCGGCACATATAGGTTGCGCTAAAAGGTCAGAAGGTGGGAGGGGAAGTTAGCACAGGTCCAAGGGCGTGAAGAGCGGGAGAGCACAGCCAAGGTCACCCTGCGTGCTCAGGACTTCCTCCCTGTAGCTCAGACCAGCACTGAAGAAGCAGGTGCAGAGCAATCCTGTGCCCCTAGGAGGCCATGAGGTCCCGAGGAGGCACATGACTTCTCCAAGACCACAGGCCACTCACGCTGGAGTGAGGCCTGGCTCCTGAGTTCTCCAGCAGCACCCAGACCCGGGGAGGCTCCCTGTGCGGCACAACACTCGACCCATAGAGCTGTCGGCACTGGCTGCCACTGCCCTCTCTTCCAAGGTATCAGTGGCATCCCTTACTCACTGGCCCCCTGAGAGCTCACAGTAGTTAGCATTCACGGAGCACTTCCTATGTCCACTTCTGAACACTTTACCTGTCATTCATTCTATCGTCTTAGCCGCCCACACATGTCCCAGACATCGGTGTCCTCCCTTCTTCCCTTCACAGCCAAGTCATCCTGATCCCAGGAGACCATCTCTGCTCTCTCCTGCTTCCCATGTCATCCTGCTCCTCCCTCCAGGCCTAAGGCCTAGAAAGGAGGCTTCTCAGAAGCTAAGCCTGACACCCTTGCTCTCTTTCTTCTCAACTGTCCAAAATAAAGTTAACAGTCTGCTCTCTGAAATCTCAGGTGGCCTGGGGAGTGGTCCCTTCTTACTGACCTGAGTTTTGTTAAGGAGAAGGCTGACCACATCGGCCTTTCTAGGGGGAAGCAGAAGAGATGCCAACCGAGGTAGGGAGTGGAACGAGGTCAGGGATGCCACGGGCTCCCTGCCCATGGAGGCAGAGAATCTGAAGGAGACAGAACACTCTCAGCTTCTCAGTAAAGAGAGGCAGTGCCAGTAGCGATAATAGTAGCTGTGATGGGCTGAATGACCCAGGAAGGCCCTAAATATATTCACAGGTGTCTTTATAGGAAAGAGACAGGGATATCTGCCCGACAGAAGAGAAGGTAATGTGGCCATGGAGACAGAAACCAGAGTGATGCAGCCACAAGCCAAAGAATGCCAGCAGCCCCCAGGAGCTGGAAGAGGCAAGGAATGGATTGCCCCCAAGAACCTCCTGATGGGGCACAGCCCTGCTGTCCCTTCCTCTCAGCCTAGTGATGCTGATTGAGGGCCTCTGTCTTCCAGAACTATGAGAGAACACATGCATGTTGTTTGAAGACTCCCAGTTTGTGGTAACTTGTTACAGAAGCCACAGGAACGAAGGCAGTAGCTGACATTTAATAGCTGCCCACTCTGTACCAGGCCTTTCCCTAAGTATTTATCCACATTAACTCATTCTATCCTGGCTCTGGCCATGAGGCCTGTGCCTAAGGGCACACTGCCTGGGCTGGAATCCCCAATTCACTGCTCACTGTTGTGATGCCGTATGTAACCTCTCAAAACCCATTTCCCAACTCATGAAATGGACACATAGTTCCCTTTCCCTTTCTCATCGGGTGGCTAAGAGGATAGAATGAATGGCAGGTAAAGTGTTCAGAAGTGGACATAGGAAGTGCTCCGTGAATGCTAACTACTATGAGATCTCAGGGGGAGAGTGAGTAAAAATGAGACCATCATCCTAATGTCAGGACAAGGACATGCCTCCAGGACCCAGAACAGTAAAAAGATGAAAAAGATGTCCCTCTAAAGCCAGCTTGAATGGCAAACATGCAGGTCTGAGTCGTTAAGGATTTCTTCCCCTGACTAAACAATGTGAGTCCTAACACTGGCCTCATTCCTTGCAGGGGACATGCCTCTGCCTGCTAACTCTGCAGCACTGTCCAGCAGACTCGGCCCCTCACCCATCCCTGAGGACGGCTCACCATCTCCGTCATCCCACACCTTCTCCCTGCAACTCGGGCATCAGGACCCGGCGGTGCGGGGAAGCCGGCGGAAGAGAAACCCGGGTCCGTTCCCTGGCCTTCCCAGCCAGCGGGTGAAATGGAAAAGCAGGGTCCGCTTTGAGGTAGAGGTGACAGCAGGTTAGTAACGAATAAGCAAGGCCTCCCAGAGGCCCGGGGGCCCTTTCACTGCCTCTGCCTTCCTTCCCAGTAAAGTTTGCCAACTCCCCCTGCAGGGGAGGTAATTCGCAGACGCAGCGCCACAGGCTCCCAGGCAGTGTGTCCCCACCCAAGAGCTGCAGGCACCCCAGGGAGAAGGGCTCCTGGGCACGGGGCCAGCCCACAATCGGGATGCCCAGCTCCAGAGACTCCTGCCGCCGCCTCCAAAGACCAGGCCTCTCGCCCGCCTGCAGGGCGGCCACCTGCGCGCTCGGCCCGGGCCAGCCCCGCCCTCCGGGGAGAGAGGACGAGGCAGGACCGCTCCCCTCCGTCCTCTCGGACACCCAGTTGGCGCTGCCGTCAGCCACTGGCCAGAACCGAGAACCCAGGTCCCCCGGAGAACTCGAGAAACCGCTTCTCCTCGCTCCTTCCTCCCCATCAAGGAACGCAGCCCCGCCCGCGCCGCTCCTCCTACTCGGGGGAGACGGAACCGAGCGCCAGCCTCCAGCCCCGGCGCCTTCCGTCCCCCCGCCACCGGGGTCCCGGCCAGCCCGGCGCCCCGGTCCCGAGGGGCCTGACCCTCCATGGGCCCCGCCTCTGGGGACCCCGGGGAGCCCGCGAGATACCGGCTGCGCCCCGGGGCGGGGGCGGGCGCTGGGCAAGTACCAGGGACTCCCCTGCGTCCCGCGCCTTCGGGCATCCCCTGCGCCGCCCCCCGCCCCCGCCCGCAGAGAGCGCGCCGGGCTCCCGCCCCCCGGCCCCCACGGGACACGGGAGGCGGGCGGGCCGGGGAGCCGAGCCGGAGCGAAGCCGAGGGCGGGGGAGCCGGGCTGCAGCCCGCACTTACGCGCGCGCCCGCGGGAAGCCCATGGACAGGAGCAGGTCCAGCGCGGATCCGTGCCTGACGGTGCCCGGCCGCTGCTGGCGGCTCCGGCGCGGGGCCACCTGGCCGTACAGCTCCTCCCTCGCGGCCATGCCGAGCGTCCGGCCGTGCTGGGCCCCGCTGCGCGGCCCGCCGTCGCTCGGGAGGCGCGAGCCCGACCGTCCGGAGGGCGGGGACCCGGGCCGGGCCGGGGCGGGGCGTCCGGGGCAGAGGGCGGGGGGGAGGCGGCGGCGCTCCGGGCTTCCTGGGGCGGCTACGGGGGCCCGAACTGCCGCAGCGCCGGGCCGGGCCGGGCGGCCGTCCGTCCTCGGCCTCCCGCGCCCCGCGCGCCGAGGCTGCTGCGCCCCCACCCTGCGCCCCGCGGCGGCGGGGAGTCGCGGGGAGTAATTTCTGAATGGACCCGAGCGCCGCGCGTGGGCGCCCGCCCCGCCCGCCGGCCCGCCCTCCCTTAAAGCGGCCGCGCGCGGGGCGCTGGAGGCGGCGCCGGCGGGGCATCCCGGCTGCTGGGCGGGGGCTCCCACCGGGGCGGGGGCTCCCACCGGGCCGGCTGCGGGCGCCTGAGCTTGGGGAAGTCGCTCCCAGCGCCCCGACCCTCTCCATGGCTTGCAATCGGGTCGACTGGGCCTCAGACACCACATCCAGCCAATGCTAAGTTCTAGACGGGGTTACAATGGAAACTGCGGGACTGATGGATGGCTTCACGAACAGAAGGCCAAGCCAGAGGCCAGAGGAAAGGTTTTGCTTCCGAAAGACCCTGCAAACCACAGAGGATTGTTGCAGCCATTGAAGACGATTCCACCAGCCCCTGGACAAGTGGCCACACTGAAAACCTGCCACGCTCTCCAAGACTGAGATAGTGAGGGCCAGCAGAGTGGGACCTCAGACTGGGGCCCAGGAGGGAGGCGGGCAGGAGGGGAGCACGGGGCTGCAAGAGGAGGAGGGAGGAGAAGATGAAAGGAGGAAGGAGGAAGTGGGAAGCGGCAGGAGGGCGAGGGAGAAGGAACAGAGAACCCTGGAAGAGGTGTTCACATGAATGGTAGTCAAGCTCCATTAAGGGTCAAGTGCCAAGTCAATACAAGGATTCAGAGAGAGTGGGTCCTCCCTGGTGGAAGGAAATTGCTTCATAGGTTGGACAGAACTACCCCCACCTCCAACAGGTGGGTCTCCTACCCGTACCCCCTCCTCCATGCCCACAGCAGGAGCGGGGCTGGCGCTGTGAAGGTTCTTTCATTTGGAGGAAACTTCTTTTCCTCCGTCAGGGACAAGGGGTTCACTTGGAAAAGGCACAGAGGCACCCCAGCTGCTTCTCTTCTGAGGGAATTTATTGGCCTCCTGTGCGTGTCAACCATTGTGCTAAACATAAATGACTCGACTCATTGAATCTTTACAAGAACGCAGTGAAACGCGTGTGATTATTACCTTAATTTTACAGATGAGCAGACTCAGCTCCGCGAGGCTGAGGAAGATGGTGGAGCTGCTATGTGCATGGCCAGCACTTCTGTCCTCAGTGGTGCTCTGGGCAAGCTGCTCCTCCTTCTACAGCCCCGTGCCCTCCCCTGCACCGTGAGCACCATAGTACCTTACATACACTGGGCTCCTCAAAAAACGTCAGCTCCTGCCCGTTAGGGAGGGTGGGGAGGGGTGGTGACCGGCATTCATTTTGCTTTGTAAGGAATCTAAAAGTTTACCAGGGAAAATGGCACAGTTTCGTTCTCTTAGCCCAGAACTGGTTTTCTGAGGAATATCCAGTGCTATCTGAACATGGGGAGATAAGAACTACTGGGCCTCCAGCAATAATGTGCGTACTTCCTGGTCGGGAACTTCTGTCCGGGCAGAGGAAGTGGCTGGAGCCTTGCAGAGTGTTTTTCCCGGGCATGGAGCACAGGGCTGGGCTGGGAAGACAGTACCTGGTAGACATCCTCCTTGGGAATGTGTTCAGTAAAGGATGGTGGGCCTTCCCCGATATTCCAAACTTCTTCCAAATGTCTGGGCTTCGAGTCAAGATCTGGAGCCCAATCAAGAGCTACTAATGCCTGAGAAAGCTCTTTGTAAACCATACGCACTACACAAATCATGACTCAAATATATTGAGAACTTACTCTATGCTAGGGCTGTTTTAGGCTCTCACAGATAGAGCTCACTCTCTCAATAAGGCAATCAAGTCGGTGTTACTGATGGAGGGGTGGGAAGGGCACCAGGTGCCTGACCGTGAGGTCAGACCAAACCTAGGTTCAGCAACCTCGGTTCTTGGGTTCTGGCTAGGAAAGAATTCAGAGCTAAGACTCCAGTTATAAGAGAACATTCATTTATAAAATTACAGAGGTAGAGGAAGTAATTCGTAGGAGAGATGTGCTGAGGAAATGAGTTATGGAGGCAAAGGAAGGGTCCTAGGGGCTTGGAAGCGAGGAAGCTAATGGTAACATGAACGGGACATGGAGCGGTTGGGGAGGAGAAAGGGAAAGGCTTGGGTGTGCTCCCGGGAGGGAGAGGCACGGGGTCTTCTGCCTTCGGGTTTTAAAGGTGGAGATGTTAGGGGAGGCCCCAGGGGGATAGAAGATTCAGCAGCTTTCCAGGTGTGTCCTTTCAGGGTTGTGTTCTCCACTGATGGATTGCTCGGCACCAGGGCAGAGGGTCATCATTCAATGCAGCTGGTCCCGAGGTCAGCCATGGGGGCACTGGTCTGGTTTTGCTGCTCTTCTGGACCTGGAGCTGAAATAGCTGAGGCCTAATTTTCTCTAAGGAGGCAAGGTCAGGAGGTCTAAACCTAATGACCAGCAATAAGCTAGGGGAGGAAAGGCCACCCTGGGGGTGAGGTGCTACCCTACAATTGCCCTTTGCTAGGCACCTGGGGCTTTCTACCCTGTGACCTTTCGTACCTGGCCCACCGTCCTTGCTCTGCTCATGTCTGTCTAACTGCCTGCCACATTGCTCCTGTAAGTAGCTTGCTAATACTAATAATAGCAAAAGAACAAATGGGAGGCCAGATAGTGTAAGCGTGGTCATCTGGGTAGCTTCCCCAGGAAACTGCACAAGGGGAGAAATGGATGCATGTGCAGTGAAGCTGGGGTGATGTAGGAAAGCTGCTTGTCTGTCAGGCTAGTCTGAGGAACAAAGATAATTAGCTAGAGGGGTAGAGCACTGCAAGCTCAGAAAACCCTGAAGGACCCATTGGTTATGCTTCTAGTTAAAAAAAAAACAAAAAAAAAAAAGAATTCTTACTTTCTTGTTTCTCTTGCATGTTCCTGCTTCCTTGCATGTGTTTGCTCTGTGACCTGAGCTAGCCTGCCGTGTGGCCTTAGCACAGCCTGGTCCATGGCCATGGGGAACCCACACTCAGTGAGCTGTGGCAGGGAACACAAGCTGAGCGAGGAAGATGCAGGACTGGACGTGCTTCCACATGGAATGGAAGCTTGGGTAGTGGCTTTAATCCGAGCTCTGCTAAGACAAGGTGGGACTTTTTTCATGGCGGGAGGGAGGGAGGTGGGACCTTGGAAGGGAACTGCCTTAATGTTACCTCATCAATAAAGCTTTCCATGACACCTCATCCTCCTGTGGGAACCTCAAGAAATCCTTTTTTCTGAGGCAAACCAAGACCTCCACTTCTACCTGCAACAGGTGGGGATGGTAGGACCACCATATCAGTAACATAGGTACAACCATATTATCGCTGGCCTCTTTACAAATATATTGAAGCAGATAGAGGTCAATTATCTTGTCCAAAATCATATGGCTAGTAAGTGGTAGAACCAGGATTTGAACTCTTAAAATTTGTCCAAACAGCCATTTATCACCATTGTTATGATGGAAAAGGATACCAACCATTAAAATAACATGGTTACCCAGCCAGTGTTGCTCAGTGGTTGAGTATCCACCTATGAACCAGGAGGTCACTGGTCGGATTCCCAGTCACATGCCCACATTGCAGGCTTGATCTCCAGTGTGGGGCATGCAGGAGGCAGCTGATCAATGATGCTCTCTCATCATTGATGTTTCTATCTCTCTCTCCCTCTCCCTTCCTCTCTGAAATCAATAAAAATATGTTTTAAAAAAATAATAAAAAACATGGTCGCCTTTTGACTCCTTTTATGCCCCTAGACACAAAATTGCTAGATCTCTGTTTCTTCAGAAAAACGGAATTAACTGTCTTTGTGGGAGGAAGAAGCTTCCCTCTGCCCTCAAGTTTCTTTCCTAATAACCAAGTAGACATGCAACTGATTCGCAAGATGAAATAACCAACATGGGAACCCCACATACATGAGAGAGAGTCAGGTTTCAGAGACAGAAAGGGAACATGGGTATCTAGGACATTCTGAGCTAGGGGTGAGTAAGGTGCCTTGAGGGCTTTGATGGATCATTTCGGGACAATAAAGGAGCAGTAATTAGAAGTTTGCCCTTTCCAATAGATAATCTCTATTATGGGCAAAGCCCCTTACTCAAATGCATCTAGGGATTTTAGATGGAGCAGAAGTTTCTCTGGAGCCTTCACTAGAGCTAAAGTTGCCTTTAGCGCAAAACAATCTGCTACCATGGAGGCACAACTTGGGGGGGCTCTTTCTGAACCTCTACATCTTCTTTCCAGAGTCTAAGCAAACTGAGAGGAAATGATAGATATAAAATAGTTTTAGGAGTCTGGAGAAAGCACTATGGAAAGCCAAACACCTTAGATGTAAACTGTTTTGTCTGGGGCACTTTTAGAGACATCCCAGCCTGACTACCTCACTGTTCTTCAGTTCAGTGCCAGCAGCCAGACTGTTGCCATTGTTTTGCAAGGGCTAGGGGGCTGGCAATTAAGATGCACTGTGTCTTATTATATTGACTTTTAAAAGCTAGGGAAAGCTTTATAAATGTCCACATTATTTTACAAAGAGAAGAGAGATGACTTTGCATCTGACAGGACCTGTGACAGCAGGGGGAGGATGGGGAAGGAGGGGCTCTGCAGAGGGAGACACTGGCAAGTAGCTTGAAGCTGCTTCCTCAGAAGAGAAGGCAAGTTATCATGTACCCCAGAACCAACAGTGAGGTCCACTCTGGGTCACAAACCTCTTTTTATTCCTGTGACCACCATTTAACTTTGCTCCCCCTGGCCCCAGCCACCTTCTTATTGTGTTAGCCCTTCTAAAATGGGCACACAGATGCCCAAGATGGGCCCAGTTAACTGAACTCACAATTTCCGAGGTGCGTCCTTTGTCTTTTCCTTCTCCTCTCTGCCCTTGAGAAAAGTTCCAATGACTGCATTTAAAACAGGCTGTAGAGAGGAAAACCCAGATGGTGGCATAGATAAATGCCTGTACTTGCCACCTCTAACAACTACATCAAAATTACAACTAAAATACAGAACAACCATCATCCAGAACTTCCTGAAAGCTGGCTGAATGGAAGTCCTACAACTAGAGAAGTAAAGGAGAAGGCATACTGAGACTGTAGAAGGGGCGGAGGCACAGACCGGACTGCTTTGACACCCACGTGTGCTGTTTTTTAATCAGGAGGGAGATCGTCCCTACTGAGGCTGCCCATGAGGACCAAGGGGTCCCAGCTCCACACCAGACCCCCACCCCAGGCTCCCAGAGCAGGCAAGAGAAGTCCCCGTAACTACCAGCTGTAAAATCCAGCAAGGACTGGGGCTCAGAGACACAGAGGC